TCTCCCAGCCGAAGTCCAAAGATGCCTTACTTTCTCCCCTTCCTACTCCCACTCAAAGCACGACTCATGAATTAACCCCATCCCTGACCACGGTCTCCACTGCCCAGCTTTTCCTCAAATTAGATGCTAGGTAAATGAGTTAAAGAACAAAACAAAGACATTGGGGCCGAAGTTAGACCAGCCACAAGGAGTACTGAAGCGGAGAGCAAACGCGGTCCAGGAACACTTGAGAACTAAGAAGGGTCCAAAGGCTCATAAACAGACTACGCCGTGGAAGCGCAAACCCCGGCGGATACAAGCGGAAAGGCAGGGAGAAGAGCCCAAGGAAACTCACCGGAGAGACATTTTGGGAACGTACAAGACGCGCTCCCTCTGGTGTTTAAAGGATCCGCAGTCAAATCCAAGATGCGCCCGTGTGTAGGTGCCAAGAGCCGACTCTCCACCAGTCAGGTCGCCCTCCGCAATCCGTAACGGCGCCCAAGGGTCCCCCAAGGGCCACCCCCTTCCCACGCCTGCAGGCTGGCCCAGTCGGGCAGCCGCTAGGGTCCTAATTGGGCAACGAGAGCGAGTGGAGCCACTTTTCCGACTCCAGTCCGCCCGCGCGGCCCTTCCCCGCAGGACGCCCCCCTCCCGGGCTCCGCGCCTACCTGTAGCACCAGCGGCTCGGGGTTGAAGGCCAGGGTCAGCAGCAGTTGCATGCGCTCCGAGTCCTTGAGGTTGCGCAGCAGGAAGCTGCCCGAGTCCTTGGTCTCCGCGTAGCGGCGCACCAGGCGATCGAGCAGGCGCTGCGAGGGGCAGTGCACCAGGTCGGACCAGCCCTCCACCGCCTCGGGCGTGAGCAGCCGCACGTCGCCGTTGAGGCGCGCGAACTCGGTGCGGGGCATGGCCTGGAGCAGGTCGCAGCGGGGTCGGCCGGTGGCCCGTTTGCAGATGCTCTGGTCGAGCTGCGCCAGCTCGCGCTGCGAGCCGAGGCGCTTGAGCACCACTCGGCGGCGGCCGCCCTCGCGGGGCTCGCCGTACTGCGCGAAGTAGACGTTCTTCACGTTGAGGAAGTCCAGCAGGCGCAAGCGGCCCCACGCCTCGAACACCACCTGTCCGTTGAGGAAGCGGCGGCACCAGCTCGTGCCGAAGCACGCCGGGCACTTATTGAGCTGCAGGAAGCGCCGGTCGGCCAGCTCGTTGCGCTGCCAGGAGGCGAGCAGCGACGGCGAGTGCAGCACCATCAGCACTAACAGGCTGCCCAGCGCCGCCAGCTTCAGCGAGCGGGACAGGCGGCCCAGCTTCGGGGGCACCAGGCGCCACATCCCGCCCGCCGCCCGTCCACACGCACCCGGAGGGCGAGGGCACCCCGTGGGCGCCCCCGCCGCGCCGAAACCCGGAGAGCGACCGGCAGGGTCCCCGGGCGAGAGAAGGAGCGAGGTCGCGGGCTGGGGCGGGAGGCGGAGTAGGTGTGTAAGAGAGAAAGACGGGGAGCGGGAAGGAGCCGACCAAAGCAGGCTGCGAGTTCCTCAGCAGTCACTAGACTCCACAACTCTCGAGCTCCCTCCTCCGAGCTCCCCGCCCTCCGACTCCGGCGGCGCCTCCTTCAAGCCAACCAAGTTATAGAGGAGCGGGAGGGGGAGGGAGCGCGGGGACCCGGCGGCCGCGCGGTCGCGCGCGCGCACGCGCACGCGCACTCCTCGCTCGGGGGCGCGAGAGCTGCGGCGGCGGCGGCGGCCGCCTGTGGGGCGAGCGGGGTCTCTGAGGAGAGAGAAGGAGGGACTCACGGAAGGGGAAGAGAAGCTGGAATGTCTCACATCGAAAAGTAGCAACAGTGTAGGAAGGTGGGAAGGATGAGGTGCCTGCGCCTCCCTGACGCCTCACGCCCCGATTCGTACGCGCTGGCTCTCCAGAGACGGAGAGGGGGCCCGGGGGCGGGGCTGGAGGGGCGGAGCGAGCGCGTTGCGCGCCGCCCGGAAAGCGTAAGCGCGAGCCCGCGGGGGCGGCTTCTGGGGGCCGGCTCCGTGGGGGCGGAGCTCGAGCTCGTGGAGGAGGGATAAGCTGGCGAGATCTGGTGGTAAAATGACTTTTAGTTAACAGTTAATCTTTCATGATTGTTGAGTTTTACCGGGGCCTCTCTTTTGGCATCATGGAAACGGTCCTTAAGAGAGAACAAAAGAAAACACGAATTGCAAAATTGCCACCCCCTTGCTCGCCGGACTGCTCACGCCAGGCGGAGGCAGAGGGGGCGGGGCAACGTGCTCCCCGCCTCTGACACGCGTGGGGCGCGCGCCTGGGGGCGGAGCGAGGCGAGGCACGCCTGGCGGGAGATCGCGTCTCGTCAGGCCCGCGCGCCTCTAGGTCGGGGGCGGGCCTGCGGTGAAAACGTGGGGAAGGCGTGAGTTGTTGGCTGATGGTTTGGGGAACCGCATTTTTGGCGTCTGTTATTATCTGCGGTGGCATCTTAAATTTCCTGAGCGGGTATGGGAAATTGAAGTTAAATGGAAAGTGTGATGGAGAGGGAAACGACGCGGCCTGGGGTCGCCGGGAGTTCTGCGCTAACTGCTGCGAAGATGCGGGGATGAGCATTTGGCAGGGTTTGCCTTGCTCCCCTCTTGTTTTCACAGCCCGCCCTAGAGCCGTTTTCTTCTGCTCGGAGAAGTAAATTTCCCGGCGCTGTCCGTGAGCAGCGGGCTGGTGCTCTAGGCCCACCCATCCCCCCGACTCCGCCCCGCGGCGTCCACGGGCTCGGGCCTGCCCTCGGGCCAAGACGCGTTGCTGTGGCGGTAGTCATGGGGACGCGGGGCTGTCTGGCGCTCCGCTCAGGCACTTTGGCTCAGATTCACGCCACAACTGCAAAACTAACTCGGAAATGCTGAACTATAGCGCCTTGTTTTGGTCTAAGTTTTAGGGAACCCTGTCTCTTTAGCAGTAGCTGAAGATACATAATGCTTTTTAGTTTTAGCGCTCGAATAGTTAATATGGGAAGTGGTTCAGAGAAAAACGTGGTTCCTGATACCGTATTAAAAACCCGAGTCTTCACCGAATTAACTTTAGGGATTGAACAGTGATTTTTAGAAGACACTGGTAACTGGCATGTATAGATCAACTCTACAAGGGCTTAATAAGAAACCTCTACTGGATTATCAAATTCATTTCTCTGTATTGTTCTCGACAGTTACTTGATTGCAAAAAACGCAGCTATTCTCTTGGAAAGTACTGTTAAGTTTAATATATTGTCCTTCCTGATATAAGAGTTCAAACTTTAAAAGCCTTTCAACAATAAATATATTCAACATAGAAGGAGTTTTTAAATGATACTACATTGAATACAGACAGCTTGTAAGATTTAGTCTTCAGAGTCATGTATAAGATGACTAAGAAATTTGACTTTTACACCTAAGGACTTTGTGCCACCTTTGGCAGTAATTTTATTTAAATTGCGTCCCTGAAATCCGTACTATGTGAAGTTATGAGCAAGACCTCAAATGAGGATTTCCTAAGGAAAGCGTCTGGTGTGATTAGCCTGGAGATGTCATCTGTGCTGCTGCTGCGGCCGCCACTGCTGAATTGTAAACTAGGCAAGTCTTTTACTAAACTAAGAATTTACTGTCCCTATTATTTTTCTTACTTGTCCTGGAGATGTGTTTATTAGTACCAGATAATTTATGTGAAAATTCTTTAAAACAATAAAAACACTACATACATTTTTATATTTATAGCTAGAATGAATCCATTAGAATTCTTGACAGTAAAGTGGTTAAGCTGAGAGAATTGGACCATAGTTTGAGACTAGTTAGGTGACTAGTAACAGGATTTAAGAGGAATTGCTTCTATGTATGGAAAAGATCTTTGGAGTTCTTAAACTATTCTCAACCTCCAAATCCTTGGATTTCTATAGGCATCATTTGAAGTGTGGAAATAAAAAAGGTTACTAGTCTATACAAATTGAATTTTGAAAATATTTGCTTTGTCTTTAAATATTTTACATATGTGTAAAAGCCCTGATACAGTTACGTTTTCTAGACGTTTGTCAAAAAAGACAGTGTTCAAAAATTTAATACATTCTTCAAGGTAAAAAAACAAAAAGCCTTAGAGCTATAGGACAGAAATTCAAGAGTGTACTAATTACTATGTTAGGGTTTGGAGAAAGATTAGTCAGTGAATGATACAGTACATTACCCACCTATCCTATAAATTACAGGATGCTTTTGGTCAATGAATTATAAGCTAACATCCAAAGTTCTTCCCCATAAATTTAAATAATGGCAAATAATGTAATTTCCAATGCATTGTAAAATGACATTTTATAGTAGTAGTCACTCTTTTAAGTGTATGCAATGGAATTAAGTATTTTGGTACTCATCATCCATTTTTAAAAAGTGAACTAATACTTTGCTTGTCTAAGTGTTACATTGTATTGCTGTTTTGTCCTTTACATTTACAGCAATAGTTCTCAGGGACTATTGACCCCCCCCCCCCCAGGGAACATTTGACAATATCTGGAGACATTTTTAGTATCATAGCTATGGAGTGGGGGCTACTGAGTATCTAGTGGAAGGAGACCAGGGATATTGCAAAATATCCTACATTGCATAAAGCAACTCTCAACAACAAAGAATTAACCAGCCCGAAACGTCAGTTTTGCTATGCTACTAAGAAACCCAGACCTACAGAACTCTATTTTTATCTAGTATGGTTTTAGGCATAGAAGTCCTACTAGTTATCATTCTTTGCTGCAGCCAAAAAAAATGTATATTAATATTTATTGCATATCTTATGGTTATAAGGTTCAAAAATTAAGTCAATCTAGGGAAATTTTTTGTATCATTGTGACTATTACTAATATACAAATGATCAATGTATAAATATCATAATTTTGAATAATTATAAAAAGTAATTATTGAAATATATTTGTTAGTGAGATTGGGCTTTTTATCACTTAGCTTAATTTTTCATGGGTGAATGTTATTTATTGCTAGAATCTTACCTAGTCATTAATTTTCTCAGTATTGACTTTCAGGTGCCCTGACAGTTATGTCCTAGAACAATGCACCGTAGTGAGTTTCAGGATAGGTAAGAGGTTTATTTCTTTTGTAAAGGCCAACAGTGCTCTTTTCTGTGTACTGAAGTACCTCAAACATCTTTTTTAAGAAGTTGTTTACTAGTAGTTACTGGATGGGCCAGATGAGTGATAGCAAGGACACTGGCGGAAACATTCTGGATGTATTCTGAATACAGACCTAACATAATTTACTCAAGGTCTGGATGTGAAAGAAGGGGAAGCAACAGCTCTCACTGCGAGGTTTTTATCCTAACTCACTAGAAGATTTATTATTTGCGGGGATGGGGGATACTAAGAAGAAAAGAATGAGGCAGAAAGAAACACAATTCTCCCTGTCCATTTTCTTAAGTGCCACATTTGTGTTTCTAAGTTTAAGTTAGCTGTTGAAACTTAATTATCTATCAAAATGTAAATAATATTATATATTACTCTCAGTGTAGTTAAAAAAACTTACACAGTCATTTTCCCACAAAATGATGGGATCTTTTCCTTTGTTTCTAACTCCATTGCCCACAATTAAAACACTTGGCAATTCAGTTGTAACTGTTTACTAAGTAATGTTAATAACCTGATTTGTATGTGTTAGATTACCTTAAGGACAGGTTTTGTAACTAAAAGCTGTTCAGTGTTTCAGTAGAATTTTAAACACATTTTTTTTGTATTTAAAATAAAAAAACTTATATGTAGGTAATTTTTAGGACACATTCACTATCATCAAACAGTTGATCCCATTGGATGTATAAAACTCATAATCACCAAAGTTATGACTTTGATAATGAGTTATGTAGTTTTCTGACTTGTGCAGAATGATGCAATTTAGCTCAAATGCAACTGCAACTTTTAATTCATGATTTATATTAATTCAAATTAACATGCATTGTTATTGGCCAGGCTAATCCAAAGAGGCACATTTTTCTCTTAGTAAATTGTGAATACTTCTGTTTTTTTCCACATTGTTTTAGTAAAGAAAATAATATATACAGAGACAGAAAAATTAACACCATTTCAATGAGAGGTTACTTTCATACCCATTTATTAAGATCTTTTGAAAAATTAACCCAAAATGTGTACACCTTCAAAATTAACATTATTTTACCTATTTTGTGGATTGACATTCATACTTAAAGTTCCCCTTATTCAGTTCCACTCCAAGTTCAAGATTCTGAGAGTATGGGTTCTCTAAGTCCAGTGGATGAGACAGGTATATACATACCAGCTTTATTGCATGTCTGTGATAAATATTGAGGCCTAAGCAGTATTGAAGGAGCATAAACAAGTTAGAAATTCTTGAAGTTACCAACATTATATTTGCATTGAACTCCTTTTGGGAGAGTAAGTTGTGTGCACGAGGATAATTTTGCTTCTTTATCCTTTACAGCATGTTTTCTTCTTAAGCCTTACCTCCTATGTCTTTTATCTCTCTACATCTACTGGCTTGTGCCACCTCTGGTGGATGAAGGCACCTACAGCCCAATACTATGGCTAAACAAGCATGCCGGAAAGCTTGAAGAACATCATCTGCCCTTTACAGAGCAAAAGCATCCTCTGAGTAGCTAAAGCTTGGACTTCTAAGTAAGGTATCTTTGCCGGATCCTTTTATGGAAATCACATGTATAGGTAAAGGACCCATCATGCCATAGTCTTTAGCCTAATGGCTGGGCCAGTTGTAAAGATGAGCCACACCTGAACAAGGCTATTTATGTTTTGTACTTGGGTATCAAACATAATATGTATTTAGTATGCAAAATTAGATAGTTGAGATATGTTTTTTTGTTTTCCTTACAAAAGGACTTATAAACCTTATAGGTAAATAATTAAGAATTCCCATTTTGGGACACTAAAGATTCTGGCCACCAATTCTAACATGTGGGGGGTGTGTGTGTGTGTTGGTGGCGGGGGGTTCCCCATATCAGCAATCAATTCTCCCAACACCAGCTGGGTGTCCTATAATTTAACTCAATTCTAACAATGTCTGCTTGGAGATAACATCAGATTCCACAGGTTAAGGGCTTAGTCCCATAAGACTGCCCTCTATTTCATTTTTTTTAAATTAAAAAAAAATTTAATGTTATATTTATTTCTGAGAGAGAGAGAGAGACAGACAGACAGCATGAGCAGGGGAGGGTCAGAAGGAGAGGGAGACACAGAATCTGAAACAGGCTCCAAGCTCTGAGCTGGCTGTCAGCACGGAGCCTGATGCGGGGCCTGAACCCACAAACCGTGAGATCATGACCTGCGCCGAAGTCAGACACTTAACCAACTGAGCCACCCAGACGCTCCTGCCCTCTATTTCAGGTAGCAGTTGCAAGCCTGGGTAGTTACCTTTGCTTCTGAATGACCAGCCATAGGTCAGAGGTTCCCATGACCTCTCCTTTGGGTCACAGGTTAAGAGTTCAGTCTTATAAGACTGTCTCCAGTTCCACTTCAGATGCCAGTAGCAAGTCCAGGTTATCACCTATCTTCTCTTACATACCCTCTCCTCGAGTTCAATTAATTTGCTAGAGTGGCTCACAAAACTCAGAGAAACATTTTATTCATTTTAATACTGATTTATTACAAAAAGATGCAACTCGGGGCACCTGGGTGGTTCATTTGGTTAAGCATTTGACTTTGGCTCAGATCTCATGGTTCATGGGTTCAAGCCTTGCAGCTCAGAGCCTGGAGCCTGCTTTGTGTTTGTCTCCTTCTCTCCCTGCCCCTCCCCTGCTTGTGCTCTGTCTCCCTCAAAGATAAATAAACATTAAAAAAAAATTTTTTTTTTAAAAAAAGATTTGACTCAGGAACAATCAGATGGAAGAGATGCATAGGGCAAGGTACAGGAAAAGGACTAGGAGTTTCCATGCCCTTCTAATGTGTGCCATTCTCCCTTATTATGTATTCATCGACTTGGATGTTCTCAAAACATCTATTTGGGATTTTATAGAGGCTTCATTACAAAGGTATGATTGATTAAATCATTGGCTGCTAGTGACTGATTCACCCTCCAACTTCTCTCTTCTCTCTTCTCATCAAGGGGTGAGACTAAAAGTTCTAATCCTCTATTCCTAGTTAGCTCGCCTGGCAACCTGTCTCCATCCTTCTGTGCTTTTCAAAAGTCACCCAGTAATGTGAACCCAATTGTGGTGGAAAGAGGCTTGTTATGAATAACAAGACATTCATTTTACCTTTATGGCTCTAAAGTGCTTTCTGGAACTGAAGACAAAAAAAAAAAAAATACAACAATTGATGTTTCCTTTGCTCTCTTGCTCAGGAAATTCCAAGGTTATTATAAATCACATTATCATAGGAACTAACTGTAGAGATGTCATATCATCCAATGTAATCTAACTCCAGAGTGTGGCCCATTGAACTATCAGTACACAACAGATTTACCATCTTTGAAATGTAACTGATTCACTGATCTGTCTGATTTGACAGACCATCAACTACTGTCCTTGTGCTACCTTGTACTTACTAAAGAAAGTTGATTGATATGCAGGGCTTTTTCCTCTTCCCTCTCCCCCTTGGAAATAGTAGAGTTCTAGTTATCTTTTTGAGAAGCCAGGAATTAATCACAAAATAATACATATTAATTTATTATAATTAATTTCCTTGAAGATTAGTCTGATACTTAGAACTTATATAATTATAGGTAAATGAAATAGTGTGCTGATCTAATCACAAGGTTACAAGACCATTGTTAGAACTTGCTGACAAATTAAAAATAGCACCTTAGTAGATTAAACTGGAATGTCATAATAATTTGTATTTTTATAGATACTCTATTATTCTAAAATAAAATAGCATCTAATTGCAGTAATAAGCTTGCACACTCAGTAGTAAATACGGTAATTGAAGTCCTGGGATTTGTTTAAAAACAAGCTTTAAACTCCATATAAGAGCAGATTTTAGTTCTTGTTATTAAGTTTTGATTTGTAAGTCTTTACGATGCTAGTACTCAATTTTGAACTGTATGTAATTTGAAAAAAACATTATGTAATCTGCATTAAAAAAAGGGAAAGGAAAAGTTCAGTGTTAGTCTCAAATGCCAAAGAGATGACCAATAGTAAATAGTAAAACCTTAACTATAAAAATCGTTAAATTATAACATGTCTGTTTATTCATTTATTGGAATATATGTTTCTACCAAAATGACAACCAATGACTTACATTTCTTATGTTGTTTTTTCTCTTAAAACTAGAAATAATTGCAAAGGAAATTTCAGAGACAGTATTTTTAAAATTATTCTTAAATTCCATATACCTTTGTAAAAGCGATATTTAAAGAGAAATATTTTTATCTAATAAAACATTAGACTATCTTTTTTATATTTTCTATTTATTGCTTATATATAGAATTAAAACATTTTTTTTTATTGTCTTCATAGCAGCGACAATTCTATCTTTCTTTCTTTCTGTCTTTCTTTCCGTCTTTCTCTCTTTCTCTCTTTCCTTCTTTAAGAGAGGGAGCGGGCACATGCATGAGAGGGGCACAGGAAGAGAGAGAGAGAATCCTAAGCAGACTTCACACTAAGTGCCTAGTCTGACACTGAGATCATGACCTGAGCCGAAATCAAGAGTCTGACACGCTCAACTGATTAAGGCACCTAGAAGCTTCTATATTTCTTATTAATTCTAATAGTTTGTAGATTTTTTGGGTTTTTTTTTTATACATACCAATTATATAAATTACAGCAGCATCACTTAAATTATGTTTTTTAGGAATAAATCTAAAGATAGGAATAAATCTAAAGAAAGAAGGATGGGCACTAACTCTATACTGGAAATTACAAATCATTTTTGAGAGATAAAGATCTAAATAAATGGAGAGAGTAATATACCATGTTGAAGGATTAGTAGTTTTAATATTGTAAAGATGTCAGAGGTAAAGATGTTAATTTATAATTCAGCATAACCCCCATCAATATTCCCAATAGTTTTTTTTTTTTAATTAAATTGACAAGCTGAAAACTACAGATCTACAAAGAATGAGGAATGACTAAGTTATTCTTAAAGAACAAAACACTGGAGGAGTTAGTATATGCAAACAGTAAAAACAAACAACAGGTGGTCAGCTGACTTAGGACAAAAGTGGTTAAACAGTGTAGCTCCCAATGTGGTTTTAAATAAATGATACAAGATCAAGTGAATATCATGGAAAAACGTGTATATCTTGATCTGTCTTTAGATGCCAAATACCAGAACCAACTGTAAAGGAATTACAAACTAAATGTGAACGATAAACTACTAAAGCTTTTCAGAGGAAACAGGAGAATTTCTGCCTGACTTTTAAGAGGCTGTAATTGAGGACATCCCTGAGACCACCCCAAGTTCAGTAATTCACTAACAGAGCTCAGCAAAGCTTGTATACTCATGGTTACAGTTTATACAATAAAGAATGCAGATTAAAATCAGCAACAGGAAAGTGTGCATCAGGCAGGGTATGGGAGAGACCTGGCATAGAGAGCTTCCAGTAGTTCTGTCTGAGTGGCATTGTGTGAACAGTGCTTGTTTCTCACAACAGTGATATGTGGCGATGCACACAGAGTTGTCAACCTGGGAGGCTCAACCAAACCTTGGTGCCTCGCGGTTTTTTTTGGGCGGGGGGGGGGCGGTTAAGTTACATAGTTATGGCTCTCTTCCCACATTGCTGATCTTAGTCTTCTGCTCCTGCAGAGGTCAGTGTGATACCACATGGACCAAGGTCCCCAACATAAATCACATTGTTAGTATAGACTACTTGGCATGGCTTAAGGCCCCCAGGTATACGAAGACACTCTTATGAGGCAGGACATTTCAAGGGCTTACAGTTACCTCCCAGGAGCCAGGGATGAGGGCCATACCTTTCTTTGGACGAGATTAATCTTGTTACACATCAGTAAAGAGTTCTTAAAAAAAGCTCTAAACAAAAAGGTAAAATGATAAATCGGTCTTATTAAAAACTTCTGTTCATTAAGACAATGATTAAGTCACTCAGAGTAGTAGAAAGTATCTTCAATACATATATTGGACAAAGACTGGCATCCAGATTATGTAAAGAACTCCTAGAGATTGATAAGAAAAAAACCCAATGATGGTTGGTGGGGAGGGGGACAACAAGCAAAAGACTTAAGAAGGCACTTAAAAAAATAAACCTCACCTTTAATACTAGACTTGGCAAAAATGTGGAGTAATCATACCTCTTATACAGTGCTGGTAGGAGTGTTAGTTGGTACTTTGGAAAACTGTTTGGCCGTGTCTACTAAAGGTGAACATATATATACCCTGTGACCTAACAGTTTTGTTTCTAAGTGTATACCCAAGAGAAGACTCATGCATTCATTCACCAACAAACATAAACTAGAATATTTATTGCCATATTGTAATAGCAAAAAACTGAAGAATATTCCAATGTCCATTAACAAAGAATAGATAAATTGTGGTATATTCACCCATGGAATATGATATTGCAATATATATGATAAAACAGTTTACAAGTGTGCAAATCAACATGGATGAATTTCACAAAATGAGGAAAAACCAGACAAGATGGTACATTCTGTATTATTCTGTTTATATAAAGTACAAAATCAGTAATTGGGCATCATATTAACAGTTA